GAGTAAAGGAGGCCATCTTTGTGAAAAGAAATCGTCCATCATTAAACAGGGGTGGAGGCCTCCGGGTTCAACTGTCCCCCTCTTACAATGCTGTGATTGCTAGTATCACTCAGCCCTCTGTGAGTAGTAAACAGCCATCAGTGTGCTAATGATCCATTGTTAGGCTGATGGTCCTTCTTGAGCATGTGATCAGCTGGTTTTGGTTGTCGGCAGCAAACTGGTTGATCCACTCTGAGAAGGTGCTATTTAAGAGACTGAGCTGAAAACAGCACCTCAGACTGAGGAAGTCTCTTGGATGAGAGACGAAACGTTTCTAGATTTTTTTGCTTTGTTTTGTTTTTTGTTTTTTTGAATGTCCAGAGGACCAGATTGAACTTTTTTGGATCTTGTTGTCAACTTAGACCTTTCTACGGGATTTTAAACAATTGTTAAGTTCAATGCAAAAACCAGCAGAGACATGTTCCTGTTTTTATTATTGTACCTCTTTCATAACGGAACTTGTTTTTATTTCATTTTATATCACTTCTTCTATTTACTTTTCATTTTATATGCATTTTATAGCTGTTTATTGTTGTCTGTACCTCATCTGTGTTCTTTTTTAAAACAGGTCTCTCTTGTAAATGAGTCCTCGAGGCTCACTGAGACTAACCTGCAGAAATATTAAAGGTTAAATGAATGAATACAGCAGGTAAGATATTAACTGTTTGTAGATTTTCCACTGAACCCCACATGTCCTGTTTATTTTTACATTCTTGTAAAAATGAACCAAACTAAGAACTGAACATTTGTTTTTAATAAATGGTAAGTTTTTCTTTCAGCCCCCACCCCTTCAACACATTCTTTAATAGAAAATAGGAAACCAAACTCCTCTCTTGTTCCAGACTTTTCCACTGTCACCTTCATGCTTGCTCAAGATGAGAGTTCTGTGATGGAGTTAAACTCAAAGCTGTCTGCTCCTCAGATAAATGGTGCTAAATTATTATTTTTAAATATGAGTGCTTCTGTTGACCTATATATGAATGTTTCTGTTCAGTGCCCTGAGACCACTTCTGTTGTGACTTGGCTCTATAAATAAACTGAATTTAATTGATTGAATAGACCTGAACACGTGGAGGACAGAACAAAACTCTTTTTGTGTTTAGTGTTGTAGAGGGAGTTCTGTTTTGATGTTTCAGGTGTGAAACTTTGATTCTCCCCGACATTTCCCTCAACTGTCTGTGGTAAATAATTAAAGAAGAGATCTGTCCCACCCAGTCTTGTTTACGTTACGATGCCAAGCCCCTCCCCCACACACTGCACAGAAGCGTGTCGGAGGGGCTGGGGGTGGTATCAAGCACGCGTCCCTTTGTGTGCTCATTTTAATATCAATAAGCCCCCCTCCTCCACTCTCCCCCAGCATCCTGGGGTCAGAGCAGACAGAACCATCCTGAACCAACCAGACTTTAACTTTGGCTCTGTAAAAACAAAACAATAAACAAACAAACAACAGGTGGGACGTCTGCGACGGTCTAAAGCTCCAAACCGTTCACCTGCTGGCAGGTGTGTGCGTGCGCGCGCGAGCGCGTGAGACGCTTCTGGTAGGACAATGGTTTGGATCTGATTATCATACAGCTGTTCCATGAGGTCCAGACAAAGGCCCCCCCCCCCCCCACACACACACACACACACACACACACACCATCTACCCGACACACTCCCGCTCCGCTGATGGCTCCTCAGTTCCTCACGCGCCTCCCTCCTCCTATAAAAGTTCTGTGCGTCTTTACGCAGCAGAATTAGAATCAGTCTGAGTGGATCGGACCGTAAGGATCCAGGAATCAGGGAGCCGGACAGTTCCCCTCCCGTCCAGAAGGGTTTTCATCCAGAGGATTTGATTTTTTTGGACTTGATTTAGTTTGAAATAAAATGTCACAGCTGAGGTTCCTCCTGGCTCTGGCCTTGGTGCACGTGGTAAGTGTTTTTATTTAGTTGGTGTAAAACTCGACTTGTCTGACCCGGTTCTGCTGCAGGTTCTGTCCTCCGGAGTGTTCGAGCTGAAGATCCACTCCTTCCACACCGCACAGCGCATGTGCAGAAGACACAGAGATTGTCACATCTTCTTCCGAATCTGTCTGAAACACCCGGAGGACGTGATCTCCGCCGAACCACCGTGCACCTTCGGAACGGGACACACGAACGTAATCCGGGCGGACCACACGTCTATCTCCAGCAGCGCTCCCATCAGGGTTCCGTTCCACTTCAAATGGCCGGTAAGTGGACCACCAGAGTGCCAGAACCTGGGAGCTGTGCGGGTCTCATGGGTTCTCCTGGTTCTCTGCAGGGAACCTTCTCTTTGATCATCGAAGCCTGGAACGCCGAATCTCCAACAGAGTACACAGGTACGGCACCACAGCACCTTCAGGTCTTGGACCGGAAACTAAAACGGCTCACTCTCACGCGCAGACAACCACAACAACCTGGTCAGCCGCTTGGCCACCCGGAGGAGGCTGTCCATCGGGGAAGACTGGTCCCAGGACGTGCACTTCGGGGAGCAGAGCGAGCTGCGCTACTCCTTCCACGTCTTCTGCGACGACTTCTACTTCGGAGACGGATGCGCGGAATACTGCCGGCCCAGGGACGACACTCTGGGCCACTACACCTGCGACGAGGAGGGGAACCGCATCTGTCTGCAGGGCTGGAAGGGAAACTACTGCTCCGAGCGTGAGTCCCACACCGGCTGTTGCCCAAGTGCCCACGAGTAACATTACATGTATTTCACCTGCAACAGCAAGTGAAATAATGTCTATGCATACATCTGATTATTATCATGAGACAAGTGAAGAACCTTTAAACTCCCAAATGAAGGAATACATATTTTATTTTACTGTATTATACGTTATTATATTTTATTACATTATATTATACTTTATTATATTTTATTATGTTATATAATTTATTATATTTTATTATGCTTTATTATATTTTATAATATTTTATTATAAGTTACTATATTTTATCATATTTTATTATATTTATTATATTTTATTATAGTTTTTTATATTTTATAATACTTTATTATATTTTATTATAAGACATTACAATTTATTATATTTTGTCTTTATTATAGAAGATAATAAAATTTATACTTCAATTTTTGGTTTATTGTTCTGCTGTTGAAATAAGTATAAATTTATTCTAATGTAGCAGGAAAGTGAAGTTCAAACATCCATCCATCCATCCATCCATCCATCCATCCATCCATCCATCCAT